GGCCCCCTCACTCTGATCACCAACACTAATATCATAACCATAAGACTAGTAATAGCAATACCAACAACAACATAACCGACAACAACAGCAACAACAATAATAACAACCACGTTGCCAACGACAATATCAGCAACAGTGCCAAAAACAATGATACCAGAGAAAAACCCTGATCCGGTTTTTGTTGGGGCTATGGGGCTATAGGACTACAGGTAGGGTTATAGGGCTATATGGCTATCGGGGTATAGTGCTATAGGGCTATGGGGCTATCGGGGCTATAGGACTATAGGGCTATAAGGCTATAGGGCTATTGGGCCATAAGGCCACATGGGCTATATGTGCTGTTGGGCGATTGGGCTATAGAGCTATAGCGCTATAGGGCTACATGGCTATAAAGTACCTGGGCACCCCTGGGCAGCTCTGGGCACCCCCGAGCAACCGGGCACCCGGGCATGAGGATCGGCGGAGTTGCGTCAAGGTCTGGGCTGATTTTTATGGAGATGGGCGAGTGGAACGGCTTGCGCGTTGCCTCAGGGTTGTTGGCGCAAGGCTTGGCCTTGAGTCCTCGGGTATAGGACCACGCTGACGTGACGGGTGCCTATGGCACTTCACGCCTCCCCAGTCGCCCATTGCGGTGGCACCGATTTCATAGTTGTTATGTTTGGCGGGGGAAATGGGAGGGTGAGGAAGGTGGAGGGGTATTGAGAGGAGCAAGGTCGAGCACATGTTAGTGACGGTGGTGCGCGGTAGGCAGGAACAGGACGAGTAGCACAGATGTTTATCTACGAGCCGTATCGAGGGAGGTCTGGGCAAACGCCGGCGAGTTGGGCTCGGGGAGATTGGTGCGAGACCTCAGGTTTGATCCCATGATCCCGCAGGTGCCCCCCAGCATGTTCCCAGCGTGACCTCCCTTAAGTCGCTTCCGCGTGCCACCCCTCGCGATGGATCGTGCCCCACTCGGCCCATCATGGCTCGGAATCCTGTCTGCCCGCTTGCCATCCCAGTCGAGGTCTTTTTGCATTTAGCGTGGAACACCGTTCTTGTGTTGGAATGTGGATCACAAGCTAGTCATGTTGGCTCGACCCGTTGAATGAACACACTCCCGTTCTATTGTAGCTTTGTTGTTGTGCCTTTCAGTGTGATGGATGGGCGATGAGATTATCGTCGCGGGCGCATTTTCGCAGAGCACTCAGGGACAGCTTGGCACAGAGTCTCATGCCCCACGGCGCCGACGAGCCAAGAGAGCCCGATGCGACAGTTCCGTTGGCCCCGACGTGCTGATAGCGATTCTCGGCTCTCGCCACGGACGATGGTCTGATTGTTTCCGATTGGGCAGGCGCGGATTGGCGACCACATCCGTTGGCACATTAGGTTTCGAGGTGATGGGTCGATTTTCAATTCAGGTTCCAGCTGCTGAGTCAGATGATATTCATTTATACGGATTTGGAGTGGTCAAGGCATACCGTTTGTTGCAACATGGGGATAGCGCGTCAGAGATCGACACCGAGTACGGCCACGACATGCAATCCCATTCTATGACGCATCTCAGCAACGACAGGGACAGGAGGACTACGAAGTTTGGGGGTCAGGCTGTGCCGTTTCAAACTAGCGCGTATATTGATGACCCCGCCGTTGTGCCGACAGATGTTGCCAGGCTGGGTTCGGGGTAGTTTGCGACCCAATTCAATGAGTGGGTGGATAAGGGTATTCGTGTAAATGTTGTCGCACATGATGGTGTTCCCCATGCGGCGGCATTCGAAGATCCACGCGGCGTGAGTCTGGGTGACCTGTTTGCGAGATGGAGGGCGATCTATGATTTCGACGGCTTTCGCGGGTTTGCTCAAAAATGGTGTGTGTGTGTGCACCCGTGCACTGCGATCGTGCAGGCCCGGGGATTTTTAGGGTTCGCTGTATATCAAATGGTGCATCGAGAACGCGCTCGCAGTGTGTTCTGCCCCACTTGCTTGCCAGAGGCCGCCATCAGGAAGCATGTGTTGCAGCAGCGGGCCCCTCCACGTCCTGCGCGCCATGTCGATGTGGCCCCACCTGCTGACGCATTGTATTTTCGCCGCGGCGATGGGAATGCGGGTTCAATGCGGGGGAAGAAATTCACCCCCGCACGCCTGATCCGATCGTTGAAAGTTTCATCTGTTTTAAACTTGAGCCCGATGACAGACCATGTGAGGAAGTGCTTAGAGTTTGCCATGCCCGATTTCGCAGACCAGCTGATGGGCCAGACCGTTGCCGGAGATTCCGCGTCTCCACCGGAACGCACGTCGGTGCGGTCACGGATCAGATTGGACTGTGCAATGATGTTGTTACGCCAGGCTTTGAACAGAGAGGGAGGGTGGATGCGACAATTCTGGTGCAATGCGAGCCCTCAGAGAGGTATCGATTTTTTTCTGTGCGCGAGTTTTGTCATCGGCATGCCGACGTTGCCAACGCTCAGTTTCGCACCCTGCCTGCATGCACCTTGGGCGTGGGCCATTTGTCAGCATCGGACATGGCCGTCGCCGTTCTCCGCAGCATCGCTTTGGAGAGTGGTTTCAGGGACATCTGGATCAGGCATTGGTGCGAGTCCGTTCGCGTCGCCTCCCCAGATAGTGGCACTGAGAGCCACAGCGTAGCTTTCAAGGGTTTCACTGAGGCGTTCCTCAAGGGCCAGGCTTATGAGATCGGCGCGGTCATCCCAGATGGGTTTTTGTTCCCGAACGCGTTCTGGCTACCGGAGGGTAGTCGCGTGTGGGGCCTCATCTTCAGAACAGCGTTCAACGGGATGGGGCGGTGGGAGGCGTTCTTAGCGATTTGAATCATATCATTGGCTCCCTCCGCGACGACGGACACCGCGGAATCTCGCTCAACGCGGTGACGGACCTCCTCCCCGCAGAGGCGGGGAATTTGTCCAAGGCCCCTCGGTCACGCTTTAAGCTCGATGGGGAACTGTGGCATTTGCGGCGAAAGACCTCCAGTGCATGGCCACTGGCTTCCACCGCAGCTGGGGCTTGCATCGGATGCCTACCCAGGGGCCCGACGCGAGGAGGGTTGATGTCATTGCGACGGACAATGCCTTCTGGGCCAAGGTCAGAGTCGTCGCCGACCTCGGCGACGGCATCGACGTTGAGAGGCGTTGGATGCGGGGCTGCCCTTATCACGAGGAGGAATGCATTTGCTTTGCGAAGAAGGGCAATAACTTCCAGTGCCCAAACCAGCTCAAGTCTTGCAGAGGCCCTCAGCCTCGCGCGAGGCTTCATGACACCCTCGACAGATGGCGAAATAACCAGATCGCGCTCCGCACGAACTCCGACGATGGCCCGACAGGGGAGATATACCGAGCAACGCATGCGGCATTCGGCCACCTCTTGGGCCTCGTCAAGCACACGTTTAAGTTCATCGTTCACTTGCCGTATCGTTTCTGGGAAGCTCGGGACCCAGCAGTCGCAAGGACTCTTCTTGATATGTATCGTGAGGGCGTGGGGCGAGGTCTTCAGTATCACCGAGTGGCCGCTCGTTGCTGCGAGGGCGACCTGAGCGCCGACTTCATCGACCACTGCGAGGGCCGCGGCCTGCCCCCTCGACTGGACGCCGAGCTCAAGGCGCTCGAGTGCGCCAAGTTCGACGGTGCTAGCGCTGAGGCTGTTCACGGGCAGTTGGCGCGCATTGCGGTTGTATCAACCGCTTCGTCATGTCGTTTCAAGGCCAGCGGAGCACGCGCGAAGCAGGACTGGACGGAATGCGGCCTTTATTGTTCTCTCGGTTGGGCGAGCAGACCCACTGAGTTTTGGAATAAGTACAAGGCTGTCGTTCAGAGAGGCATTTGCAGGAGGGGCCAGTTGACGCCCAAACGCGTCGGCGATGCAGACTTTTGCGCGGACGTTTACAGATACGGGTGGCATTCTCAACATGACTGGAGCGAGCTCAGCACGGGGAAGCCGGATCCTCGGAGGGCGCAGGCTTCAACCACCTTCGGTCGGATCAAGAAGGACTTCATAACGACGCTGGTGAAGCCTCACCAGCTGTACTCCGTGCTGACTGACCAGGAGATGATCGATGATGCCAGGCTTCACCCATTGGGCGGTGATGGTGAGGTCGGCGACCCAGTGCGCGAGTTGTCGGCCTTCGAGGTGATTGACTTGCACCCGAATGCGAAGCGCGTCCCCGAAGCCTACGGCGCGAAGACGATGTTCTGCCCTGCCATGGTCAGGAAATGGATCTTACATGGTGCTGGACCTTTGCCTCAGTCGCCTGTTCAACTCACGCTTCGTCCATCTAGCGATGGCCCCGCTGCGATGGACATCCGTGCCATGTCGTCTTGGAAGAAGCGCAGGGATTCACTTCGCATGTGGGCCGATCGCGCCCCGTCCGAAATCCACGGATGCCTCGACGTCTCTAAGCCAGTGGACTGGAACGACATGATGCCCTTACCGTGGGCGCCTGCGACGTGCCCAGCTGCGACGACGGTTGCAAAGATGGAGGAGCTGGGGTGGGTCGAAGGTGAGCCACATCACCGCCCGCTCCCCATTGCAGACAAACTCATCAGTTACGAAGACGCGACCAGTCGGAAGTCATACCTCCTTGCGTTGATGGACGCGGACTCTTTACATGCCCGAGGGTGTGATGCTATTCGCGCTGGCCAGAGCGAGCTGCATTGCCGCTGCCCTCTCAACGTCGACCCGAGGACGCCGCCCAGCCACAATGCCGAGTACTACCGCAAGGCGCTGAAGCAAGGTGGCTTCGGGGACCTGGCGGAGATCGTGGTTGGCGGCGACGGCGTGGCGGCGCCCATCCGCGCGATGGGCGCTGCGCTCGGAGCTGGGCCCCGTCCTCTGCCAGCTGCTGGAGAGGATTCCTTGGGCGCCCAGGTGCATCGGGAGGGGGGGCGTAGCCCCGTGCCAAGCCCGAAGGGTCACACTTAACTTCCCCCTTTTTCCTTTCTCACTCGCCCCAGGCCTTCCCGCTCCCTCCCCTTCCAATGCCCCCCCTCGCCTGAGCATGGCTTGGCGCGGGTCTCCGTCGCCCGCCCCAGGTGTTTGGGGACGTCGCGGCGGGAGCTTTGTCGGCTGGGGCGCGCGACGGCCCAGGGCTCGAGGGCGACGCCGTCGTGGTTGCCGGCGGCGTCGAGGCGCCGCCGCCGCTTCCTGCTGCACCGCCCCCCGCTGCTGAGGCCGCCGTCGAGGAGGCCGCCGTCGAGGTCGCCGGCGGTTTCGGTCAGCCTGCGCCGCTCGAGAAGATCCACGGCGACTTCATCGAGGGATGCAGGATCCACGAAAAGGTGTTCGGGGGTGATGACCAGAGCTACTCCAGGTGGACGGTCACTTGTCCACTGCGCAGGTCCACGCACCACCGCGTGGGCAAGCGGCGCACGAGGTCACGGACCACAGCATTGTCAGCCAGAAAGAACTTCGGCACCTCCGAGATACATAGCACCCCGCAATTGCGGATAAGAGTGAGGGGGCGGGCGCGGGCGACGCGGGCGTCGAAGAGCCAGCGGACATCGTGGCCCCCACCTTCCTTGTCGATGGCGCTCTCTTCCTCCTCCTCCTCCTCCTCCTCCTCCTCCTCCTCCTCGTCCTCGTCCTCGTCCTCGTCCTCATCGTCATCGTCATCGTCCTCCTCCTCCACCTCGTCCTCCTCCTCCTCCTCCTCCTCCTCCTCCTCCTCCTCCTCCTCCTCCTCCTCCTCTTTTTCCTCATCCTACCTCTCCCCCCCTCGTCCTTCCATCATCGTCCTCCCATTGTCGTCCTCCCCCTCATCGGCCTCCATCATCGTCCTCCCATTGTCGTCCATCATCATCATCC